CAGATTGACAGTGGTTTGATAACACCTGATGATAGCCGCCTGATATATCATAACAAAGTAAGGAAACAAGGGAGAAACTTGTCGTAACCTGAAGAGGTTTGATAAGGATAAGAAAATGGAATCAATTGTTTGTTCTTTGATGGGAAGGGATGACACTAAAGTGTTCGCCAGAAAGTTGGAGATTCTGACAAGTTGTTCCTATAGCGCTGGTGAAGAACACTACTCCTGCTGTTGATGAACCAGGAGGAGAGTATTTGTGGCATTTCACTCCAGAGAAAGATGACATCAGGAAACCAGCTGAGATAGTGGCAGATAACATTGTGAACTGGCTCAGAGAGAGAACACGTAGACCAGACCCTGCAGGCCATTGGAGGGACAGCACCTGGGAATTGGCAAGAGTGTCTGATGGACAGTGGATAGAGCGGAAGATTGGGAAGAAAGCTGGTCTGGATTGTTTGTGACCTCCACACCAACGAGTTGCCACTCAGACATCTGATCCAGGGCTGGATGGCAGACTCTTTCAAACAACAGATGGTCTGGTCCTCTCTTCGGCAAGATGCTGGACTCTGCCACTGAGTTAAAGGAAATAAATCCCGAGCTTAGAAAAAATCACAGTTGGCCCCTCCACTCGTTGAGCTTGCACATACTGTCATTGACGACCTGAGTACTGACCAGTACTATGGATTACATGATTTGCAGTGCCATCAAACTGGGGTCATGCCTGATAGACTTGCTTACGCCGAATGGTCAGTCTCACATTCGTTGGCTCCACAACAGCTCTCAGGTTCTGCAGAATTTGGGTCGCTCATCATAAACTGAAAGGAACAAGCTTCCACAACCTGAGACTTATTGTCCAATTCATCCACCAGTGTCTACTTGCCGGTGGTTCCAACGCAAGGTCAAGTCATCGTTCTCAAGGTCCGAGGCATGTTCTCTCTTCCAGCAGGCTCCTGAGGTCATGCGGAAGGTTGTTCAGATTGTGGAGCAGACTGTGAGGAGATCTTCCTGGGTATGCTCGTACGGGCAGTTCTGCAGACAATGCTCTGCAATGGGATCAAGGAGAGAGAAGAGTGGCAGTCAAAAAGATCTTGGATATGAGACTTATGAGAGGATCTGGGCATGACAATCGGTTGGTGACGATTCCTTCAGGGGTCAGGAAGACTCCTGAAGTCAATCTAGGTGCCAAAGACCCTCACTGATCTCATAGATCTGGATAACACATCAGGCTGGCAGCGGCCCCTCTTACCTGCAGCCTCACCCAATGTGTTCAAGTCAGAGCTTTCTGGACAACCCCATGCATGTCCTGCCTGGCCCTGCACACCCAGAGTACTCGGCATTTGGCATGTACAGCAAGTGAGCCCAGAGGCCAGCAGTCCCCGTGTACAGCCAGGAGAGGAGAAGGCTACCATCTGAGCTCAGGTGTGGTCAGCAGGAGGTGATGAAGCAGAAACAAAGCAAAAGGCTTATATTCTCTATGGTGTGCAGCAACACCGGGTCGTAGTAGTAAAAACCAGGTTTTTGTATTTGATGATTTTGTTTTTCCCTAAAGGAATATTAAATTTAATAAATGTGTCAAGATATTCGTTTCACTATTCTGGATGTTTTCATCCTAATAAATTAACCTGATACATTTACTTTACTTTAAATAAGCTGTTAGTGGTGTTGGTAAAGGTGAATCTTTGAATTTTCATAAGATTTCAAGTTAAATTTACCTAGCAAAAAATGAAAACTTTTCAAATCTGAAATATCACATGATTCACAGACTTCACATCATTAATACCATCTGACCGATTTTCCAAACTCAAAAAAAAATTCATATTATGACACACCTAATATATATATATATATATATATATATATATATATATATACTATATATATATATATATATATATATATATAAGACAAGAAGAAAAGTCCTCTTAACTTTTTCTTCAAAGTGGCCTTACTCCTTGCTGTCCGCGTGTCACCATTGTCTTCAAATACTGAAGAACATCTTTGATACTGATGTCATGAACTTGCTGCAGACACAGTACTCTCGAAAAGATGAGGGAGGTATCGAACACTTGTATTTCTCCAATTTTTACTTGCTTCCTTGAAACTGACATTGTAACATCTTGCTTCTTCAGGGGACTGTGGAAGCTGTTCGTCCATGTTGATTCAAAAGGCTGTATTTGATTCTTGCCAATTTCAACAGATCGGTCCACATTAACGACTTTTTGGGCAATCAGTCCTGTAGCAATGTTGGTTATATCTTGGCCTTGGAGGTCTGCCTGGAGTGGATGAATGCATGTGGCAAGCTTGTGTCTAAGATTTTCTCGATCAACAGCATCAGCCGCTTTACGAGCTGGCGTTTCCTCCTTGGTTTTGGTTTTGTTCTCCTTCAAAGATGCAACATCTTGAATGATCCGACTGTATGCATGTAGACTGTAGGCCCAGCACTTCAAAGCTAACTGCTTAAGTGTGAATACTATGTGGCGACATGATGGATGCTTCACACTCTTTATGATATTATGTATCTGCTGCGTGAAGATAGCTGATTGCTCCTTGAGCTCGAACTCTGACTTGCTCAGCATGCTCATCATTACGTTGGACATACACATCAAGAATAGCCTGTTTGAAGGTTTTCTCTGTTCCTCGGTTTGCGGTTCTACATTGCATAACACGCCGCCAACGATCTGAATGACGTGGATCTGGTTCTGATTTGCAGTCACTACCACAAAATAGACCGTGCGTCTTGAAATCAAATGCATTGACTTCAGACCACCTTATCTTTTTTGAAGCAGGTTTCTCCATTGAAGTTTCTCGACTGTAGCGAGTCATAGACGTGTTGGTAGACACGCAGTTTTTATGAAAATACACAGGGTGAGTACTCAAATCATGCAAGCTAGTCTCTAATTGTTCATTCAAACCACCACCTCTAAGTCTACTAGCTGCTATAATACCATGTATTCTTGTTTGGGTGTGAGTTACAAGCTTAGAATTTTCTACACCACATTTAAATATTGCTTGAAAGCAGCATGCAGCGAAACAAGAGCAGCCATCATTCACATATTGCATTCTGAAATGAAAGCCATGCATTAGTTAATTGAGTCACCTTTGCCACAAACATAAAAATCAGTAAGCGAAAATAATAAATACATAATATCAAATATTTGCTAAATTATTATATAGGCTATAATAGAAGAATAATAATATTAGTTTAATTTTAAATAATATCGGTTAGCAAAAATAATGCCATACGGCAGCAATTTTGAACACCATCTTAAATACATTTCAATACTCTAGAAACAGATTTCAGACTACTTTTATTACATACCTTGACCTGAAAATTAAAATATCAGCAAAATATAGTTGTTCTATGATGCTTAGGGTTGAAATAATTTGACAAAGTGGCACCCGGCAGTTTGGATTCAGCACCTTCAAAAGCTGAAAATATTCATTGGACAGAAATGACTTGTTACATACAATGAAATGGGGGTCGGTTAGCAAAAGCTTTCATTACTAAAGGAGAGGCATGAAGTGGACATACAAATTATAGTTTACAGTGGTGGTAGATCTCTCCTTTTTCTGTGTGAGGTCACGTGGTGCAGTAACTCGTCTATAGGTGTTGGCGAGGACTTCAAATGACGTCAAAGCAACTCCATCATTATGTCGCAGTGTCATTGTAAAGGCCTAGGACTTGGGATAGAAATCCTTACCAGGTTAATCAGGATCTTAATAAAGGAAAGTCAAGGACCATGGTTTTCCGAGGAATAACAAACAACCGTTAGAGATTGGCATCTCTTTACTATAAAATATAACACAAAACTCTGACACCACTCAACAAACATCAAATAATTACAGGAGTCAAACAATTAATGGAAGCAACAATTAAAGGAATCAAACAAATAATGGGAGTCAGCAATTAATGGATTCAAACAATTAAATGGAGTCAACAATTGATAGAATCGAACAATACAGGAGTCAGCAATTAATAGAATCAAACAATTATAGAATCAAACCATGAACAAATATTTCCTACGGCAGTGGCCCTGGGGAAGGTTCTGGAACATGGTGATGCACACTCAGGGTAACGAAACGTCCACTTCGACTCCACACTCAGCGACGTCTTGAAAGGCAGGAGAACACCGGGGCACCGACGGAATGTGATGAACTGATGGTCGTGGTATGCGGTAGTGGTAGATGACCAGAGAGTTGGCAGTTGATAGGTGAAGGTCTGAGACACAGCCCACGAGTCCAGGACCTATGATGAGATCACAGCCAGAATTTGACGGACAGCAGGGTAGCTAGATACTGACGGTATGGCGGTTGGGTTGAATCTGCCGGCGGCGGTGATAGTCGCTGCCGTTCTCACCTCCGTCCAACCACCCCAAGTGTCGTCTGCACCAGAAACGAGCAGTTAGCAGCGGTAACTAGCCGGAGGATCGTTTCCGCCCTTACAGTCATAGAGACACTATGTGGTGTGGTGTCACAGTATCTCACTATCAGCCAAGTGGTGTTGTGGTACCTCATAGTCAGGTGTAAAGCCGATCCACAGTTGTTCCCAGAGTGGGGTAATTAACACCAAACCACCTGGTTAAAAAAAAAAAGATGGTCGGTGTACAGAGGCGGCTATCTCAAAATATCTTGTGATCTCACTGGTGGGTGTGAAGGTTAACTTAGCCACCACTCTCAGCTGTTTTGTAGTGTTGCTTTCACTTTCTTAAAAAAAAAAAAAAAACTGTTCAACACTGATTCCACTCACTTTGGTGGAAGATATACCTGTGGGGAGGAGGGGTTGAGGGAAGGGTTGGGGTATGGGCCACAGGCTGGCCCAGGAGGCTACCCCAACAGCGCCGAATAGGTCTTGACCCTCTGATGGTCAGGACACAAGTGTGTGTTATTGTGTGTGTGAGTGAGTTGTTTTGCCTGCACCCTTTTGATTAACTTTACTTCATCAAAATAAACCAGGACAACGTCGGGTACCCCCAGCTAATATACCATATTCTCTCCAACAGGCAAGAGCTGATTCCATCGAGGCATTGACGAACTTCAGGGGGAAGGCAGAGCCGACATGGCTTTTCCTTGGGGTAAGTAACTCTTACCATTTTTGTTTTTCATTTGTGGCCTTTGAAATAGTTTATCAATTGTGATGTCCCTCTTTGCTACCCACAACATTGAGAAAAGGCAAAGTTGACAAGTAAAAATGCGTTGTGAATAATCTGAGGGTTGAAATACGTGGATGCAGCAAGTAAGCAGCACACACACAAGAATCACTGTATGTGACAGACAAATTTAAGTTATGAATGGGATAAGAAGATTATCATGTAAACCGAGTGATTTAAGAATATTTATATTAAGTATTGATTAAGTTAGTTAATTTGGTACATTAAATAACACAAATAAAATACAAAATATGAAATTATCGAAACAAAAGCAACACAACTATGCATCTACCAAAACACACCAGAATATTGACCAATTATTTTAACTTTAAACATTAAATACACCTACTAAATACATGAACACAAAAACTGATAGAAATGGCAGCTCAGGTAACAAGTCTAGGTTGCGATGGCCAACCACAAAGAACCAGGGATTAATGACAGGGATTAATGCCATAGTCCACTACCATCAAACCATCATAACACCACCAGCAGTAGTCCACACCCCGGGAGAAGAGGAACACCATAGGCCGCAGAGAAGAGACTCAGCTTACCAGGCAGATACACTTGCCTCGATACCTTAGACTCATAGTCAGATGGGAAACTGCTCTCATAGTCGGATGGGAAACTGGTTCTGAAACGGTGCTCACTGGGGTGGAGTAGCTTCGTGAAGCTACTCCTGGTGTCAAGTTGGAGCAAGTGATGGTTATGGTGGTAGAGTGAGGCGGGGACAGATATGTCACACAATAATAATTATCTTCTCTCAGCAGCAAAAGTTGTATAACACACTTATCATAGAAAAAAAATTGCCGAACTTCAAGATATGACTAAAGAACACAAATAGATTTCATCATCACAAATACAAAATCTATAACAGATTCTTACTTGATTCTAACCATAGGCTTCTCTTAAGGGCAAACTCAAGATAAACATAACACCAATCGCTAAGAAAAATCCAAGAACAAAAGAGTGTAAGTGGAAAAGACAGAAAATGTTAAGAGATGTTTTCATGAAGAATATCACAATATATTATGTACAGTCCCGGACTGAAGATCGAGATACAGTAGAGTCAATGTGGGGGATGTAAATTCCGTCCCCACCCTTACCGAACGAAGGGTCGTTGTCAGTGATGCCACTTATGAAAATTTTTTTTTCCATATTCGTGTCTGAATCTTTCTAGAGGGGGCGCTGGTGGTAGAACGGTACCACTCTTGCCTCTGAAGCAAGATGTCACGGGTTCGATTCACGGGCCGGCCGAAGTTGTTTGGACACTCTTCCTAGTCCTCTTGGTCCCTGTTCACCTAGCAGCAAGTAGGTACCTGCTGTAAATCGAAAGTTGCGAATTCGTATTCAGGGATAAGTTGTTGGAGCTTCCAATAACTTGCTTAGACATAAGCCATTGACTCTTCAGGCTTCTTGACTCTCCAGGCTTCTACGCCCTTAACTCATGAGACATAAGGCAAGCATAGACTTAGCATGCTTCCCTGTTGGGCGCTGTAAACGTTTCTGCGCTTTACCTTTCACAAGGATGTGTGGGGGGGGTGCAAAAAAAAAATCTTTCTAGATCGGTAAATACAATTCAAGGTATGATAAACTTATATCCATTTGATATTATTTTAATTTTATTAAATGCATTTCTACAAAATATACAAAATTTATAAAATATACATGAAAATACTATATAATAATCAAATGGATATAGTGTTATGCATGGCGCAATGCACAGTGGTGCATTGCGTTGTGCATGGTGTGAAATATTTTATGCTCGTTACCCTCAACTTATGCATGTAAAATATTTTGTATAATTATGTGTGAGCAGGACTGGTACTTGATACCTAGATATTCTCCTGGATGTGTGTATGTATGTATGCTTAACTATTTTCGCAGCTTAATGTGGAAGTTGTTTTATATTAGTACTGTTAGGCTTGTAGTCCCCCCCCCAGGATACAGGGTGTTGTCAGTCACTGGCTGACATTGTAAGTTAGGGAACGTCTGAGTTTGTAAGCGGTGGATACCTACTTCAATAGGGTTTAGTTGAGTATCATATATTCAGTGCTGCTCTATTATTAATTGTTGTGTGTAAAACGCAATCAATAGAGGTATTACAAAGCTGTTTATGGTTTATTTACTGTGCACATATTAGTTGTTTATTAAGGATCATGTTTATCCTTTATTCTCTTGATTTAATTTATCTGTTCATTATGTAACCTACACACTTATTATGGCAAACTTTTATTAAATTTTATTTAAATCTTTCGTGACGTATAAATCCAAACCTTCACTCCTGAACTGTTGTGATAAAAAAAGAGGGCTGTGATTGAACCCATGGCGCACAATTTAGACCTTAATTGAATTTGTAACTTCTTGCATTTAACATTGTTTGTCGTGTATTGAAATGACATTAATTTTAAGCGATAAATATTAAGGACTAAGTTGTGCTGAGTTGCCAATTTGTTATTTTCTTATGCCATATGTGTCCTCATTATTATATTCGTCTTTAATGTAATTGAAGTTACAAAGTTATGGCATAACAATAGACTTCATATTTTAATAGCACCACTAAAGTTATATCTGAGTAAATCAAAGCAGATATTTTACATAATATTTAAACCTGACCCAGCTCCTCAGTTGCTACCTGACCCAGCTCCTCAGTTGCTACCTGACCCAGCTCCTCAGTTGCTACCTGACCCAGCTCACTCAGTTGCTACCGGACCCAGCAGAAGATCATGCCGCAAGTGCTCCCGTTAGAGACCAAGGAAAATGGCCGCGGATCGTTGTGTCTTAGCAGGGGAGGGGAGTGTGGGGAAAGGCGGCCTCCCTTGCCACTCTGTTAAGGCAGCTGGGGCAGTTGAGGAGTGAGGTTGACACTCTAAGGGGAAAATGAAGCCCTCAGGACGGAACTCCTTCAGGTAGGTGTCCTGCCTAGCAGGACACCTGCGAAGGAAGCAGGCGTGGAAGTGGATTTGTCTCCAAAGGGGACTAGAGTCAGGCTCAGGAAAGCTGACCAAGTTGTGGAATGTAGTAACCCTTACCAGGTGCTGCAGAAGGCTGGCGTGGAAGAGAGAAAGAGAGGCAGGACGGTATGGATCAAGGGAGAGGAAAGGGCAGTTGAAACCCTGCCCACAGGTAAGGTCGTGGTAGTTGGGGACAGCCAGGTGAGGGTTGTAGATGGGGCTTTTGTGCGAGAGATAGGAAACGTAGGACTAGGGTGTGTTTTCCTGGGGCTGGGGAGGTGGGCATGCAGCTGAGAGGATAGACGGGGTTTTGTCAGGGAGGTGCAATCCCATTGGTGTGTGTCTCAGTGTGGGAGGAAACGACGCCAGGTGGGTTAGGAGTGAGAATTTTTCAAGAGGTATAGGGAGGCGCTGGGGAAGATTAGAGATAGGGGAGGGATCCCGATAGTATGTGGTGTCTTTTACTAGAAGAGGGGTTGGTCGTGAATGGCTGTCCAGGGCAATTGCTATAAACTGCCGACTGGAAAACGTATTGCAAACAATGGTTGGGCATTCATTATTAGCTGGCAACGATTCTATGGCAGCGACTACCTATTACAGTCGCGACGAATTACAATTGTCTCGTGAGGGGTAAGGAGCGTTGTCATCCTGGAGCGTGAAATTGTCACTCGAAGGGGTTTCGCCAGAGAGGTCGGGGAAAGTGGGGAGTCAAAAACAAGCAGGTCTGGGAAGTAAATTAGTTGCTCAGGACAAGGGGTAAAAACAGGACAGAGGGAAGAGTAGGTTTAAATGTATACTATACAAACATTAGGAGGGTTAGAAATAAAATATAGACTTGCTGAGAGCGGTTGTATGTACTGAGAAGTAGATGTCATAGCAATCACCGAAACTTGGATGAATCTGGAGGCAAATTTTTTATCAGAGTACACATAAGAAGGTACAACCTTTTCACAAGGACAGGAAGGTATAGGAAGGGGAAGGGTCGCACTCTTCGTCAAGGATACATTAAAATGTTGTATTAATAATTCAATAAAGGTGAAATAGGAACCGAGGTCTGCGTGGGTGAAATCACGGAGGAAGAAAAACTAATTATGGGAGTGATTTACAGGCTCCCAAGTCTTGGCAAAAGCAGCTCAGCCCATATGGCGGGAAATAGGTAGGGCAGCAAAATATAACAACCTATGCATTTTGGGGATTTCAACTTCAGAAATATTGACTGGGACAACATTGTAGGTGACTATGAATCTGAAGACTTCCTAGACGCAGTACAGGACCAAATTTTTGGAAACAACTAATTACAAGAACCTACTAGAGGTATATTATACCTAGTATTAACAAATAAAGAAAAATATTATCAAGAGATATCACAGTAGGGAAGAACTAGGTAACAGTGATCACAGAGAAATGAAGTTCACCCTAAATTGGGAAACGAAAAACAATGACAATATGGTCCAGTCCCAAAATTTCGGTTGGCGGATTATCAGGGGGTTAAGAAAGGTACCTAGGTGAGATCACCTGGGAACAGTCGCGTCAGTCCCCAGTAGGAAGGGGTGAGGGTCATAGATGACACAACAATTGATCATGACTTATAATATATTCACTAGTATACTACATAAAGCACAAAAGAACAAAAATATATACCATACAGGAAAAGATAGGTCAAATTAAGAATAGACAAGGTGGATGACCAGAAAACTTAAACATGACATAGGAATAAAGAAAGAATATATGAAATTAAAGGGAGGGAGGAGCAGCTCAGAAATAGGTATAATGAGCTATCTAGGAATGTCAAGAAAAATGTAAGGAAAGCAAGAGACTATGAAATCAAAATAGCAAGAGAATCAAGGCGAATCCCAAGGGATTTTTCAGGTATATAGGACAAGGTCCAAGGACAAAGTTGGGCCTTTAAAGTCAGGGGAGGGAGAAGTGATAAATGGCAGTGAAGAAATAAGCAAAAGCATTGAACAGCTA